CAGCGGACGTTATACTTGTTTCAATGGACGTAACGAGCCTCTATACGAACATACCACAAGAGGAGGGAATTCAAACAGTATGCAGAGCATACAAAACATTCTACGTAAACAAACCTCCTATCCCAACACCACTACTAGAGCAATCGCTGAGGCTAATTCTACAGGAAAACTCATTCCAGTTCGCTGGAAAAAACTACCTCCAAATACATTGCACAGCCATGGGCACAAAGATGGCAGTAGCATTTGCTAACATCTTCATGAGTAAGGTAGAAACAGAAATCCTAAGCCAAAGCATATTTCAACCTCTCGTCTGGAAACGATATATAGGCGACATATTTTCACTCTGGACTATAAACAGGGATGAAATATTACAGTTCATTGAACAAGCAAACAACCACAACCCAACAATAAAATTCACGGCTGAGGTTTCTGAAACGGAAACGACATTGCCTTCAATTATAAGTGCGTTTCGAAGCGCACGCCTCAGAAGAATTGAACTAATTTTGCCCTTTGTAGAATTAAAATAAGAGAGATGGTTTCTTAGAGACCTTATTCTGTATGCTTGCAATTTCACTGTAAAAGGAGAGTGCCGATTATTGACCTTTCAATAGACCACTTTTGACATATTGAGAGTCAATGTCAGTAGTTTTCAACTGGGACCGTGCAATAGCGAAAAAACAAAAAATCTGAAAAAATTTCTCAAGAAAGCCCTTGGAGAGCTACTTTTAAAAATGTATATTTTACCTCGATCCGATAAATATTTTGGACGTACAGAGATAAACTTGGTTTCGCAGCTCTCAGACCAGCTTTTAGGCGTCTGGTACCGAACACTGCTGAGACCTCCTTTGAAAATCAAAACACATTTTTCACGAAATAGCAAGTAACTAATCAAATAGAGCGGACGATAATACACATTTTCTCAGTTTGAATTAAAACTGAATTTTTGACATATTTTCCAGTATTTACAATAATTCGAGCGGTTTTTCACTCCGCAAAGTCCACAAAATTAAGGGCCTAAAATCATTAACTGGTACCTCGCCTTATGTATCAAGACTTATTCCACGTGAAAGGGCACTATTTCTTCTTGCAAAATCCATTTTCAAAACACTGGGCTACTTAAAACAAAATTTTTGAGGTCGAAAAATACACACAGTACTTTCGTGAAATTTGAGTTCTTCAAGAATGGCATACCGATGTTGAAAGGTCATGCAAACCTAACGATAATATATCTTCGAAACTCAGCGCTTTGATAATATTTGCTGTCACTCACAAACTAATGTTTCCAAGACTATTCTGCTTGATTGCTATAACTTTTAAGGAAAAATTTGAGAGTTTGCCTGTTTTTTAGAGCTTGAGTCGCAATGTGTAAACTGGTCACGATATGTTCATCAAGGTCAAAGCACGTTTAATTAAATCAAATCAGAACATTTATCATTCTGACATTGCTTTCTAACACTTAAAATGAGAACAGCATCTTCCATACCTTGCATTAGGCTTGAAAAATCTGC